GTAAAGACAACTGCTACGGATACCGACAATTAAACAATCCAAATTCCTTTCGCGTTTCTAATACCTTTAAAAAAAAACCTTTTTTAAAAAAGGGTAAAAAGATGCCAAGTATAAGCGCCATCCAATAAAGTATTATGTAATTTGTAGTAAATACTTTCGTGATTGCGGATTTGGAAAAATCAGGATGACAATAATTTAATAGATTGAAATACTATTGGAATTAATAATGTATTTAAGTAAATCCGATACCATGCCATGATTGATGGCATTTTGATTCACCGAGAGTAAGCCTAAGAGCTGAAGGAGTAAGAAATAAAATGGATTTATTTCCTTACTCCTACTCCTTACTCCAGCTTACTCCAGCTTACTCCATGTATTGTAGACCAGCCTTTACTCCTACTCCTTACTCCAGCTTACTCCAGCTTACTCCATGTATTGTAGACCAGCCTTAAGGTCTGACTAACAACTCATTGTAGACCGGAGGCTTGTTTTCTATCGCTGCACTGGTCAACTAGTGCAGCAAGCTGGAATGAGAAGAGATATACTTGGCTTCCTCTAATTTATTGCACCAGTTGACCAGTGTAGCAACAGAAAACAGACCTCGGGGCCTTAAACTAACCTGCACCGTGTCCCATATCTGATACGCCGTGTAGTCAGGATGCACGCTGTCCGGATACCCTTGCGGCAGGAATATCTGTTTGAAGACGGACGCGATCCGGGAACGAGTTTGCTTCACGGCGGGGCCGGGTCTCGCTTCGTTCGCGCTGAAACCATCTGACCAACAGGTGTCAACGCAGGGTTAAGACGCGGCTGCTGCGACATGAACGACGGTACGATCGTTTACTGGCGTATACGTGACGAATATCTTACCTTCGGACTTGACGTAAATTGTGTCCCTCTCGTCCCCGTAGCTTTCGCGAAATACCAGCTGCATATTCGCCAAGAAAAATTCACTCGCTAGTCTCACCTGGTCTCACCACGCTCGCTGACACGTTGCCTCTGCACGTCGTCTGCTACTTTAATTAAATACATGGCGCCTTCGGCCACAAATTCTCCGGCAGAGTTGCAGCACTTTCTTCTCTTCTCATATCAAGCGCATAGAGTAATTAATTTCTGCTTCCTTATAGAGGAAGCTTTGTTTTTGCAAAGAAATTTTTCCAGTTTACTTTGCCAAAGTGTTTAAATAATCATGAATACATATTGGCATAAAAAAGTGTAAGAAGAATAGGTGCAAATAAAAAACTTGCACATTGTTTCCTCATCATTTTAATTTGCACACAAAGTTTCCTCTATGAGAAAGTCAAAACCCGTTTGTTAATTAATGAATTAATTAAAATGTGAATAGAAATAATTTTTTTTATTAATTTTATTAATTGTAACTCACAAAATAGTGGAGATACTATAGTTAAGAAGTTCCCAGGAAACACCCACCAACATTGCATAACGTCAATATTATAGTTTCTTACTCAACAACGTAAGTGTAGCATAACACATGTTGTAGATACAGTTACATTATTGAGTAGAAATTCATAATCTCGATGTTATGTAACTGCAATTAGTTGGTTTTCTCCATTAGTTCCTGATTAATTTAATCGGCATTGCAATTGGCTACAGCAGTACTTTTGGCTCGTTGTCCCTAATTGAATTTTTCTTTTCATGTGTCAGGCAACGCAAAGTTTAATTTCTAATTAATAAATTAATTGAACTATAGAATTAATTGAATAGAATTAGTGAAATTATTTTTATATACAAAATATAGTATTACTCGGTAAAAGTTAATTGCTAGCATTAATTTAACTGGCAGAGTTGCTTATACAATAATATTTCTATTCGTATCTGGTATCTTTAATCTAGTTTTTTTTTCTTTCCATACGTATCAAGGAATAAAATATTAATTCTCAATTGGCGAATTAAAATGCGGGTAAAATTAATAAAAATTTGTTAATAAAATTAATTCTATTCACGTTCTGTAATAAATTATTATTGCAAATCGTACATAAAATACAAGTGATGATACTTGACAAGTTAGCATCCTGCGCTATTCTTCCTTTGCATTTCTTCTATTTCCGAATATCGCGCAAACATCACCGATTATTCCGTTTAAGTCGGCGATGCATGAATCCAATCTTGCCTTGATCTTATTTACGTCGCTTCTTCTATCAACGTTACTCGGATTCGTCGTTTGACGATCGACGATTTTTATGCTTTGTAATTTATCTTCGTGCTTATGAGCATTGTTCACCCGTTTACCTTCGTAAGCAAGTCTAGCAAGTTCTTCTTTGTCATATCGAGGCTCGTGCCGTGACCCATTTTCTTGCGCCTTTGAATTATTTTTACTCGTTAAAGTTCGGTTCAGCCGCAACTTATCAAGAAGATTTACTTTCACTTTGCAATACTTTGAATCGTCATTGTCTTTCGATTTTTCGCTGTCACGCATATCTTGCATTCGTACGAATGGTTCTTTATCTTTCTCATAAGTGATTCTTTCTATTTTCTCTTCACCGATCTTCTCACACTTTTCTCTCTTCGAATCTACGTCACCCGTCGATTTTATTTCTTCTTTAATCCCATTAAGAGATTCGTCGTTAATTATTGTCGTGCCCCGTAATCCGTTTACTTCGTTTCGTGATTCATGAAACTTATTCGGTTTTCTTCTCTTCGTTTTTCGTGCCAGACTGCGTCTTCTCGATTCCGATTTGAAGCAGTTGAAAAGGAACCGGCCTGCGTGGCCACGGCATCTAGTCGAGGCGCATTGTACACCCCTAGAGATTCTTTTCCTCCTAATTTTAGACGTAAAAATATTCGTAGGACTACAACCCGTTTCGCTAACAATCTCCTCGTTTTGATGCTCGTTCCTCAGCTTCTCATCCGCGACGCCTGAAGTTCTCGCGTCTGTAGCGTCTCTTACGCTTTCCGGGCCCTCGTAGGTTTCTTTCCCGGATTTTTCGGCGTCCGAAATGGACTTTCGATACGTTCCCGACGGTTCAGACACGCGCGATCTATTTGGCCGTTCATCATCTTCGATTGATTTATCGTCACGCGGGTAATCCTCTTTAAATACGGCCGCCTCGTTCGCCGCTTTTACTTCCCGCGCACGTTTCGCGAATGATAAACGAGCGGATAAATCAGTGCCGCTTGGCGAATCGTCCCTCTTAAAATTTCTTCGCGTCTCGTGCCGTGCACCCGTTCGATTTTCTCCGTTTTTCGTCGAATGATTAAATTCCGCCGGTGTCAAACTGGGATATCAAAATGTTTCTTCATGCGTGAAGTATTAATCGGTAAAATATATACGTCGCAAGCTAATTTGCCCAAACTAATTCGTGTGTAAAGTATGAAAAATTTTACCGCGCGGAAAGTAGATCGTGTTTTAATAGTAAAACCAGCAAACGATACTTTGGCGATTGATTTTTCGACAATTCTGGTTGCGTTAAGGAAAGATCTATCCACATCTGTATCTTTAATACTTACAACGTATTCCAAGTATTAAAGATACACACATTTGAAAAAAATTGTTAAAATATATTGTTTAATTTCTTACACTTTTAGCATCATTGTAGCGTAAGATACAGAATTGACCACCTGATCATACCTCAGCGAATTGTGCGTCAAAACTGAAGAGCTCGCGTTTTCATTTTTAAATGCGACAATTTCTTCTCGCAATCGCAAGATCCTGACGTTCAATTTGGCTACAGCAGCGACGATCGTGTCAATATTAATTTCTGCGTTTTCAGACGAACAGTAATGTGAGTTGGAAGGTCCGTTTGTAACATGTGTATCCATCAGTTACTTTTAAACTGCTAATTGTACGATATTAAAAGGACAGTTTAATAATACTTAGTACTTTATAATAACAATAATCCATCATATAACGTAATAATTAATAAAATTACGTTAGCAATATTACTTCACAAAAATTGCTATTAAATCTTAACAAGTAATTTTATTATTATTTCTCTCCTAACCGCAAACGTATAAATTATTAACTAACTTACCGCCTTATCCACAAATAACGTCGCATCGCTTAAATGTCAAAATGTGAATGATCTTCACGTCGAAGATTAAGTATTCACTCGATTCGGAAATTCGGCACTAAATGTTCTGGAAAATTAATAAGTAACAAGGAAATAAAATAAGTAAATTCAATATGTAATCGCTGTGTTATCGAAATCCGAGATGGCTGAGGATAACGTCGACGATATCCTGGTGCGCCTCGACGAGATCGAGAAGCTGCAGGCGGAACTTCGACATTTGGTACCGCGCGTCACGAATAGCTCGTCCAGACACCAGGATCTGTCCCGCGAATCGCCCGCGTCAATTCGTTTCCCATCCCTCGTCACGTTCCCCGTAATTTCGGACTTTACATTAACTTCGAAGAACGAGCGCGTGCAAAAGTCAGCCGCGCGGTTGAACTTCAACGGCAAATCGTTGAAGCGGCCCTCGACGATAAATCTAAAAAATGCGGGAGGATCTTCTCAGAGCGGAGCAAGAGAGACGAGTGCCTTTAAGAATTTATTGAGAAGTCGCAGCAACGTCACCGGCTCACATGCGAGCAATTCTTCGGCCTCAACTTCCGTAATAGATTCGAGAGCACCAACAAGGAGCAATATTGCGAGTCGAATGGCCAAGGAGCCACAAGTAGCAATTAGAGGGAGATTAAAGAGCGAGACGTCGAAGACTGCAGTTAGAGATAAAATGCAGCGTGCAACTGGAGAGAAATCCAATGTGCAGCTACCTGGAAATGAAAATGTGAACTCAAGTGAATGGAATATATCTTCGCTTTCCGTTTCCTGATTTTAGTATTCATAAAATTGTTAATTCATTGTTAATCAAGGGATTTGATTTTCTCTTTGTCCTCATTTCCTTGGACTTCAGATTATTAATGTCTTAAGCCAATCGAAAGAAACTGAAGCTAATGGCACACGATACTATATTTCCTACTGGATTTCTTGCGAGAAGCAATCAGGATGCAGAGTTTTAGATCAGGTGACTTAAGGCTGATTGGCTCTCGCAAGCAATCCAGTAGAAAAAATAATATTGTGTGCCATTAGCTTCAGTTTCTTTCGATTTCTGTATTTATAGTAGCTCGTTTGTGCAGATATCGAACATTCGAGTGCAGGCAGAAGCTACGCAGTCGCGAAGCGCATGTCTAAGAAATCGGCATTGTGACAGAAGCTGGACGCTTATCGAACGAATTATGGGAATAATGAACTACTGTTTCATGGATGATAAGAGGGTGACCGTTCCATATCATCATCTGGGGAGCAAGACACCCAGAAGATTGCACATGTTACACTCATTAAAAATTGAAGGAATGGAAACGGTTACACGAGTCTGCAGCGAAAATGTCTGTCAATTAAAATTATAATACTTCAAAAAATTAATTAAACATATGAAATAACATGCAGCGAGATAAAGTATAATTACGAATTTTTAATCAATAAAACCATGTTGCGTTGCGTTCGATAAGAATGCAATTTTTTTTCAAATTACGGATATTACAGATAAATTGTCTTTCTGATAACAGAACGGCACGTGGAATGATAACGTTAAAGTTTGCACTCCTTTAAATTGTTTCCTAAAAATGTTTCTTATCTTTAAAAAATTTTGTTCTTGCGATACATTTTTCGAAAATATTTTATATTTAATTCATTAATTTTTCAGAATACTTTTAATACAGAAAAACGAATTTTTAAAATATTGTTTTATTTTAAATACAATATATACAATTTTAAATGCAACATATACGACAAAGTAAAGAGGAAATTAGATATTTGAAAAGTGTTAACTTTTGATAAACATTGTAATTATGGCATATTATGAGAAATATACAGAAAGTTCAAATCAATTATATGTTAATATGTAATTGACTGTCTTATTACAGCATATTACAGTACGGTTCTGTCGAGTTGTTTAAACGTAAATTTAGGCTAATAAAAACGAAACTAACTAAACACATTGTCATCGTAATTATTTTATTAGTGTTTTCTCATAAACCACCCTATTTAAAATAATAGATAGAATATCATCAGATTACATTAGATTACATGCAATTTTAATGTGAATTAATAAGATTCTTATTTATTTCTGTATGTATAATGATTACTGAAATATCGCTTGAGGCACTGCATAACAATTTAGGGAGAAAAATATCACAGAAATGTGTCGTTCTTGCACAACCTTGCATGCCATGTGCGTGTAATTTCCCGTAAATCGTGTCAACCGGTAAACCTGTTTTATTGCAACGTTCGGGTATGTGCACGCACTTATATTCGTAGTATAAGAAATCTAAAGGTATCTCGGCCGGTTTTTTGTTTTACAGTAAATTACGTAACTAACGAGAGAGTCCAGCCTCCTCGTCTCGGTGAGGATCATCATTCTTGAGTGGTACGTTTGCATTGACATATATTGCATGTGACAGTATTTAAATCGATTGGTCGGTGTACGCGCCCTCACCTGCACAAGTATCACTGCAGGTGCCATGAGAGTTTACGTGTGTACGCACAAGTGCGATGGTTCATGGAGTAATCGACCATCGGTTACCACGAACGTCCAATGTTATCCAGTTCACTTCCGCTCCTTTATTTCAAGGATCCACCGAAACTGGGTCAATGTCAATATTATTAGCGGATAAACGTCAATGTTTATCGCCGACCCTCGCATGGCCGTCCTGATTCATTGGCGTGGTCATTGAACTATAACTATACTGAAATGAGCACTGCCTACTCCCTCCATAGTATCAAGCGGTCAGAGAGAGATTGTTAATTAAGCTGGGACCGTGTAGTCTCTTTTAATTTTATAATTAATGAATAATTATAAATACAAAATTGATATTAA